CGCGGGTATTCTCCGATTGTGATGGGAAGATCGATGGAGCCGATGGAGGTCATCCGATCTCCGGTAAAGCCTATCAGTGGGGTTTGGAGAGGGAATAGACTTTCTTCCCCAACCTTGAGTTGCCGAAAGGCATTGAGGAAGATAATGTTTGAAGAACTGTCGTTGTCGACGAGAATCCGTGTTACTTTGTAATTAGAGAGGAGAGCAGAGATGACAGGAGGGTCGTCATAGGGGTAATGGATGGCTGTGTAGTTGGCTTCCGTAAAGGTGATGGGCTCCATCCACTACTTGGGCTATTTAGAAGGGCGGTCCAGTGTGGCAACTTCTTTATCTGAGCCCTGCCTTATTTTCCTGAGTTCTGCCCACTGGGCCGAGCGGGATGGTCCTCCACAAGCGAACCCGCCAACATTAACTCTGATCTCTCTAACCAGGGGGGCAGGGTTGTTTTGTGCCCGGGGTTGCTGCGGAGGTCTATCATGGCCTTGGTTAGGTTGGGCAGGTTGTCGAGGAGAGGTGCGCCGGCGGTTGTTTCTGATGGGTTCAGTCCTTTGCCTCTACTGAGGGCGAGTTTCCGTGAACCGACTGAGACGTCCCTGACATATCAGGGCCTCGACTTGATCTTTGAGGTTAACATACTCCTCGATATTATAGCCGTGGTCCTGGTGAAAACAACAGTATTTGGACTGGTCTCACCGATTGGAAGGAGACTGTGACGGTTTGGGCCATTTTAGAGGATAGTTTCGTTGGATCTGGTTGAGGACTTGTTCCATAGGAGAATTGAGAGGTGTGTATCGTTCGAACCGGCCAGGCGGTCAGGTTGGTGCTGACCGGTCGGCTCGGGGGGGTCGATCGGTATACTGAGGTGTCTGGTTATCGTACTGGATGTTTCTGGTTTCTGAGTCCTTTCTCTTCTCTCTGGGGGTCAGGTTTTTGGCTGTAGGATCTTAGCGAGCGGCTAGGGAATCTTTGGCATTCATGTATTTTTGGGCTTTGGAAAGTAGGATTGCCATAGAGGTCGGTGGGTTTTTACAGAGGGATAAAAGGAAATCAGATGATCGTAGGCCGGCCATGAACACCGTGAGGATGACTTTGTCATCGTTTTTCACGACTTGCAGGGCTTCGATGTTGAAGCGGGTGACAAAGCCACGCAGCGACTCCCCCTCAGTCTGATGGATGTTGAGGAGCTGGGTTGCCGAACATCGCTGGCACTGGGCTCCAATGAAATGGTTGATAAAGGAGTCACTGAGGTGCTGGAAAGTGGAAACAGAGTCTGCTGGCAGTTGACCAAACCAAAGTCGAGCCGACCCCTTGAGTGTTACGGGAAAGCCCGACACATGATTTCATCAGGGAATGCATGGTGGATCATGAGGGTTATGTAGGTCTCCAAGTGATCGACTGGGTCCGATATACCGTTGAAAAAGTCGATCATGAGCATTTTAAACTTGGGGGATAGAGGTTTGTTCCTGATGGAGGCAACGAATGGGGAGTTGGCTGTGGTAGATGGTTTATGCTGTATGTTCTGCATGACTTCTTGGAGCTGGAGCTTCATGGCTCGGAGTTCTGCATCCCAAAGAGGAATGTTGTCACCTCCGGAAAGCAGCAGGGGCTGGACGCTACTGGCCTCTCCTTCAGGGATTGGTGTTGGGACCGATGGATATGGGGGTCGGGGTGGGGGATTTATATTTGGGGGAGGAGGTTGTAAGCCTTCCAAGTTGGGTGGATTAGACTGCAGGATAGTATGGCTCGGGCTCATTCTTGGTTGGGGGGGGATATCTGGGGGGGGGGGAGGAGGCATAGGAAGGTTTCTTTGGAGTAGAGCATTTATCAGGGCTTGGTTTTGCTTGACCATGCGGTTAATGCTGTTGGTAAGCTCGATGAAATACTGTGGTGGATTATTTGGATTGGAGGGGTCGGCTTGGTGGTCGGCAACATTATGGTGAGAAGCCATGGATCTAGTCGTGACCATACACTTTGATGGGTAGCAAGAAAGGGTTGTTAGGACAGGGTTTTCGGCGACAATGAGCACAACTGGCGCGCGGAACAAAGCGTTCCCACAGACGGCGCTAACTGATGATACAGTTCGTGATGATAGAACGGGTCGGACTGATCCACGCTCCTCCAGCCTACGTCCGAATGACCAAGCCTGCGGGGGAACCTGCACAAAAGTCCAATGGGGAACGGGGAGTCTTCCAGCGAACCCTCCAACGAGCAAGTTAGGAAGAGAAGTGGGTTATAGAGATAGACTAGAGATAGAAAAGCTTAACATTCTTCCTGTCTTCAACGTCTGCTTATATCCTCTGGTAATCATTTCGTTGTCCCTTCCGACCTATCACCTTGTTTGTTTATTATTATATATATATATATATATATATATATATAAATATATAAATATAAGGGGTATAAACGTAATTTCACTTCGGGGAAATTCGGGGATGGGGCCGGGGACGGGGCCGGGGCCGGGGATCGGGCCGGGCCGGGGATCAAACACTGATCACCGTCCCCGGCCCGTGACAGATCGGGGATTGATTTTCAAATACCGTCACCTCCCCGTCGGGGGTATTTTTCGGGGAAAAACCGCTTAAATCGGGGTCGGGATCGGGGATCCCTGTCGGGCCGGTTTCAAATTGCCATCCCTACGGGGGAGAGGGTCGCAAGCCTTCCAAGTTGGGTAGGTGGGGCTGCAGGATAGTATGTCTCGGGGCTCGTTCTTGGTTGGGTGGGATATCTGGAGGTTGTGGAGGCAGCATATGAAGGTTTCTTTGGAGTAGAGCATTAATCAGGGCTTGGTTCTGCTCGGCCAGGCGGTTAATGCTGTTGGTGAGTTCGATGAAGCACTGTGGTGGGTTGGGAGGGTCGGCTTGGTGGTCGGCAATATTGTGATGAGAAGCCATGGATCTAGTTGCAACCATCCACCTTGGTGAACGGCAGGGAAGAGTTATTGGGAAAGGGTCTCCGGTGACAATGAGCACAACTGGCGCGCGGAGCAAAAGGGTTCCCACAGACGGCGCCAACTAATGATACAGTGTGCTCCTGATGGAACGGGTCAACTGATCCACGCTTCCCAAACCAATGCCTGTTGTACCAAGTCCACCAGAAGACCTACAGAAGAGTCCAACGGGGAACGGGGAGTCCCCCAGCGAACCCTCCGACAAGTAAGTTAGAAAGAGAGGTGGAATGTAGAGATATATTAGAGATAGAAAGCTTAACCTTCTTCTTGTCTTCGACGTTTGCTTATATCCTCTGGTAATCATTTCATTGTCGTTTCTGACCTGTCGCCATGGCCGAAAGTCTATGCTCTAGCTTGCCTTGTTCATGGTAAGGCCGTTTTGTCTCGATATGGAGGGCTTATCGCAATAAATGTTGTAAGGGCCTTCATTAATGGCTGATGTGCAGTGCACTAACTTTGCAGGATCTTTGTCTGTTAACGTGGCTTGTCCTTCTCTTGCTATGTGTTTAGGTGTTATTGGTTCTCAATGCCATGTTGAGCTCTAGCAACGTTGGGCCTTAATATTTTGAGTTATGTATTGGACCTTAAACGGTGGGCTATATGGGCTTACCCGTGTCAATATATATTATATACGGATAAATATATTTAATAAATAGAATCTAGGTGGGATTCAGGTAGAACGGGACAGGACAAAGGAAGAAAATCCGTCCTCACCCCATTTTTTAATCGGAGCGGGAAAAATCTATGCAAATCAATGCGGGAGATGCATGTGTAAATCGGCAAGGGAGAAAGTGATCATCTTCAACCTAAAGTAAAACTGCAAGATTATTACATCAAAAATTATTATAGAATCGCTAGTCTCCCAAAATTGGTGGTTTAGCTTCAAAGTACGAAAAAATCAAAAACAAATAAGGCCACAGTGCCAAAGTGAAGAGGGCCTCGGCCTGGGCCTGCAAGGGCTTTCAGACGTAGCAAAGCCTTGCGAAGGCAATTGTGAAGTCCATATTAAGATAAAGAACCAAGCAGTTTAGGCTCAAAATATTTCAAATAACAGGCCCAACCTAAGAGCCCATACCAGACATCCCAAAAACCTATGGGGATTCTATTTGCAAAAAAATAAAAAATAGAAAAACAATCAATTAGTACGTCAAATTTCTCATTCATTTCTATTAAATTATTTAAAATTATAATTTACTTTTAATATTATTTTTTCCCCACAAATTACCCCTCAAGATATACCCAAATAATAAATAAATAAAAAATCTTAAATTACATTACTTTGAAATTGACAATGGAAGATTAGAACGAACTATGGACAATATCAGCTTAGTGGGGGACTTTCATTTGAAAATGTCTTCATAATATTCTTTCAATCCTTTGTAACTTGAAAAAAGGGCATCATGATTGATACTAGATGCCCGAGATGTTTTGCAACAAGTGAATCTTTAAAACATGTTATTTTTGAGTATTTGAAATCGCAGGACATGTGACAGAGAACACCATTAGGGTTAGAAACTCATCAGTTATTAATCACTCTCTCTTGTGTTTTTATTTTTATTTCTTCATCTTCTTGTTTGTTTTTTGAATTGGGATAATGACTTTCAATTATTTACTAGCAATTTTATTCTGATCTATTATTTAATTTAGTTCAAATTTTATTCTATTTGCAAGTAATAACAATAAAAAATAAATAAAAAATAACGTTGATGATAATGATAAGTTTAGTGGAGTGGATTAAAATTTTAGGATGAGAAAGAAGATGAAAAGAAAAGAATTAAATCTTAGATATGAAGAATATGTATAAATGATTAAGGTATATTATGAGAAAAATAATAATATCTTATTTTAAAATTTAATATATATTATATTTATTAATAAATTTACATTAAAATATAATAAAAATAAAAATTTTAAAATTTTAATTACAAATAGAATCACCCAAAAACCTCTCGCTTTCTTCACTCTAATCGTAGTTTGGGCCCAAATCATTTCAAATATCAGGCCCACACCAAGCCCATACCGGACATCCCAAAGTCAGTACCTCCCGCTCTCTTCACTCCAGTTCTCTCTCTCTCTCTCCCCCTCTCCTCTACTCCCTGTAGAAACAACTCCTCTCACTCTGTCACTCAGACCTACCATTACCAATCATACCAAAAAATGAGGGAAGAAGAGATAGAGAAGCTGAGAGATGTGGTTAGGGATTGCGTGAGCAAGCACCTCTACTCGTCGGCGATCTTTTTCGCTGATAAAGTCGCCGCACTCACATCGGACCCCGCCGACATCTACATGCAGGCCCAGGCGTTGTTCCTCGGCCGCCACTACCGCCGCGCCTTCCACCTCCTCAACGCCTCCCAGATCGTCCTCCGCGATCTCCGCTTCCGCTACCTCGCCGCTAAGTGTCTGGTTCGTCTCTTCCTCCCCAATGCGAGCCTTAGTTTATCCACTAAGGCTTCAATTCAATCGTTTATGTTTGATTATTGTTTGTTAGGTCTTTTGGAACTAGGGCTCTTGTTTGTGAATTGATCCTTTTGAGTTTTTTTTTTTTTGAAATCATAAGAAGTGAAATGAAGTGATTTTTATTTATTTTTACTTGACTGAAGAAGCGAAGTGAATTGAATGTTAAATTATGTGAATATATAGCATTGTGTGCATTTTAAAAAAAAATGTGATTTAGTTTTTATTCTTAACTACACTTGAAAGAGATGATTGGAGACTTGGGAGTATTATTATCACCTAAATAAGTGCTGGTCTATGAAGCACGTGTGCTTGTATTGATACCTGTACGTCGGTATAATAAAATCTAAAAATGTTAGGTACGGATATGATTAGGTATGTTTGTAAAAAAATATTTATTTTTAATTTAGAGGAATATAAAAATTAGTTAAATAGTTTAGTTTGTTAAGATTCAATCTCCGAATCACATTTAATACCACAACTTAAAGGTATAAATTAAAATTAAATGCCATTATATTAAATAATTTACAAACTATAATTTAATTTTAAAATCATGCTAATCATTAAAATAAATAATAAATAAAGTTTAATGAAACTAATTTTACCTTTGTACTAGAAGAAAATATTATTTTGATCGAGATACGGTACGACTTGGGTATACACTAATGTTGTGTTTGGTTGAGAGATTTGAGGAGGGATTTGGAAAGGTAAATGGAAAAGGTAGATGCAATGTGAATAAAATATACTTACATTTCACCTAATTTCACTCATCTTTTCCCTTTTCTTTTTCAAATCCCTCTCCAAATCCCCCAACCAAACACAACATAAATATATTTAGTATGAAAAAAAATTAAGAAGACAAAATTTGGTGCGTATTTCGTGTACCCGGACATATGCAAAAATACTATATGAAGTGCTAGGTCTAGGTACAGGTACAGCATGCTTCATAGGTGCCGGTTAGCTTACATTTTGAAGCTTGCTATCAAAAAAGTACTTCCTTTCTTGTTAGATTTCCAAAAAGGCTAGGAGCTGGAAGAGTTTTCACGCTATCATGGTTTTTATGAGTTATATATTAAAATAGTCTAACTAAATATAGTAAAATAGTAAATTTCTCTCTCATTCTGCTGGGATTGCCTATTCTTTGTTTGATTATTGAAAATATAAAAATATATTGCTTTGGAGTAGTAGCTTAATTTGAAATTTTCTCTCCGTATTGTTTCATCTCAGAATTGAGTGAAGTTTAATTGCCCATGCTCCTTGGCTTAGTTGATGATAAGAGATGGGGTTGGGGGGTCACGATAACAAGCAAAATTTTGGGACTCTTGAACAATGCGAGTAGCATGCATAGTGTAGTCAACAGACTCTATACCATATTAACCGTTATAGAGTGAATGGGTTAATAAACTTTAATTTGCGTACATGGAATCGAAGTACAACTTATGTTTTGTGTGTTTACATAGTTTTGTTGTATAACTTATGTTTTGTGTATTTTATTTGTTTAGATGTTATCCTCATTTTTTTCCCGAATGAACAAAATATATATGACCAGGAGGAATTGAAGGAGTGGGATCAGTGTCTATTAATGCTTGGTGATGCTAAAGTTGATGAACATGGGAATGTTAATATCACGAAGGATGGTAATGTCATGTACTTGGACAAAGATGGAGAAGATCATGAAATCAATGTAAATTTTTTCCCCTTTTATATTACAAGTTTAGAGTCTGCGAATTTTAATTCCTTCTATTGCATTCCTGACTTTTCCCCTGCCAGGTACTATTTATTTTGTGAGTAGTGAAATCTATAGCATTAAAATTTATACTTTTTATAAAGATTTTTTAAAATTTTATTTCACTTTTTCTACCTTGGCAACGTAGAATGCACCATTAGCATAGGGAAATATAACGTATAAGAATGAATTAAAGAGGAATGTCATAGAGGCTAGAAGAAAAGGTATATCTTCTGGCTGAGGTATGCTGTTGGAAGCTAGTATCTGAACTAAAGACACCATATAAGGTTTTATATGTGTGATGAATGTTGATTATTAGTTTGGAAACATATACTTATTTAAGAAGAGAATGTAAATGCTTGTGATCAAGTGAAAAGATCGTTTCCCTTACACAAGACTCCCTCTTTACAGTACGGTTTGGGAGAGGTAGCAAGTAGTCAACCTTACCCTGCTCTTGACCTTATAAATTTATCAATTCTGATGTCTTTGTATTTGCAATAACTAACCAGATAATTCATTTTGACTGGATGAATTGACATTTCTTTCATAGGTTGATGTAATTATTGAACTCAAACACATTTATGTACTTGTTATTACAGTAATACATATTAGAATGTCAATTAACTGGGTATCTCCACCGGCGAGGGTAAGAGACCCAGCTTGGTTTTTCTGTAAGCTGCATATACATCAAGGAAATATTGGTAGGCTCAAGTTGTTTTTCTCGAGTTAGGACATTGTGGTCTTTGTTTTATTTGTTTGAGATTTAATTTTTGTTGGTTTCATGGACATCTGAAACTGTGCTGAGCTGCTTTAATATGAATGAGGCTTGTGCATGCCAATATTCGTCTTTCAAGCCAGGTTCAGCTAAGCCTAGACCTGTTAAAGTTGTAATATTTCTGTGCTGGCAGTTTCAATACTAACAAGTCTAACCTCAGCCAGGTAACATTTAGTATCTTTAGAGCTTGTTTCATAGTTTGTTTGACATTTTCTATGGGTTATTTTGAGGCTTACCGTTGCATATGCTTTGCGAGTATTCTATTTGTCGAAATTTGATTATTTTTTTTAACTTTGGCCACCCCATTTATCAAGATATGGCTATGCGAAAAGTAAGGAAAACTGTGATGCAATGTATAGATTCTGATGTTGTCTTATGCTCCTTCACTTGGTCAATTTTAAATTTCATGATACTTCAAATAATAAATAAAAAAATCATTTGATCAATAACCTAGTTATCTGTTTGGTAGGCTTAAAATCGTGAAGATTCTATTCTCCATTGATTGCTAAACTTGTGTCAATAAGACAAGATCTAATATTAGATAACGCGTTCTTTTGCTATGTGATCTAATTATTACCAATTGAGTCTTGAGTGTGGAAATATGATTACGTATTTATATATATTTATTGCAACAGATTATGTCAGCAACGTGCTTTTTAAGAGGCAAGGCATATGAAGCTTTGGAAAATCGTGCCCAGGCTCGGCAATGGTGAGTTCTCAGCTATAGCATAATCATGCAATGTTGGGGCTATTGTTATGGTTTCTGTTTTGTTATTCTACCATTTTTTTTTTAATTTTTTTTTTGTATTTTTTTGGAGAATATAATTTGTATATCAGTTCCACAAGCTCATCTTTATATTTACTCAATGTGATGCTTTTTAAGGTACAAAGCTGCTATCAAAGCTGATCCTTTATGTTATGAGGTATGCATTCATGCTTAGAAATAGTGTAAATATGTTTTTTTTTCCCCCTTTTTTCCTGGGTGCTACATTTTATGTACTCAAATTAAAGTAACTTCTTATTTGAGCTTTAAAACAGGGAATGATGCTTAATGGATGGGAAAAAAAGTTACTCTTTTCTTGTTTGATATTTTATCCTCAAGATGGTTGAATTGCTTGCACACTTTTGTCTCTTCATTTTTAAATGCAGAATTTCATATTTGGGCCTTTTGTAGTCACAATAATATGCAACGACTGTCACTGAAATATTTTGGAAATAATGTCAAAATTGCTGGCAACCATTTTTACTAAATATATTTTGGAAATATTACAATTGTATGCTACCATTTTCACTGTAAATATGATGGAAAACATTTCCTTCGTCAAGAAGTTGTTTTCATCTTTGAAACTTCTCTTGTGGTTGTCTCCTTCATAGTTAAAAATTTTTTCTTTACGTGGTCCTTTTTCAGGCACTGGAACGTCTTATTGAGAATCATATGCTTACATGTGAAGAAGGTGATTTTTTTATTTTATTTGTATTTCTTTAGTCATTTTTGTACATTATTTGAGAATCAAACAAATTAATCTGAGGCCCATGCAAATTCATGGTACGTAATATCTCATTCAGGTCTTCTTTTTATGCTACCTTGTATTATATTTTATTAGGTCCTTTAGAATTATTGGCAAAGTGTGCTTGCTTTTTCCTTGTATTTTCTCAAAATAATTTTGTTATTTGCTTTTGTGGATTGAATATGACTTGGTTCTTCCATTGAATACCAGAGACGAGTCTACTTTCATCATTGCAATTTGCTCCTGAAGATGGCTGGATCTCATCATTCTATTCATGCTTGATAAAGAAGGTAAGCATGTCGATTGGTGTGACCAGAATGTGATGCAAGTCATGTGAAGTATGTTTGTTTTTCAGTCAGTCAATGTCCAACATGTTAGATTCAAAATCTAGTCACTTTAATTTTTCTTTGTTTTTAGTTTCTGTCATTATGTTAAAACCTATCACCTACTTCACCCACTAAACCTAACCCACTACACCACTACCACCTCACCTACTCCACTAAACCTAACCCACTACACCACTACCACCTCCACTTTACCTACTCCATCTACCACCTACTACCACCTACTCTTCTATATATAGGAATCATTGTAACATTCAATATATGAATCAATAATACAATCATTTCTCTTTATACATTAAATTTCTACACATTATGATACTCTTGTTCCTGTGTTTTTGTAATGACCAATTATTATGTATTATCAGTATGACAAGGAAAATGTTGTAGAAGCCAAATTCAGAGAACTAGAACAAGAGGGTTGTAATGTTAAACCTTCAGAGAAGTCCTTGATGTGTACACTAAAAAACAACACCGATCTTTTGGCCTGCAAAGCTGAATACTACCATCAGTGTGGTGAATATCAAAAATGTTTTGAATTAACTTCCATGTAAGTTGCAACTGCTTCATAACAGAAAATAATTTTAATATCCCTTACTTGACTGAAGTCTGTATCTTGTTGCACACTATGTAATCCAGATTACTTGAAAAGGATCCTTTCCATCTGAAATGTACACTTGTGCATTTAGCAGCTGCTATGGAGCTTGGACATTCAAATGAACTCTATCTTATGGCTTGCAACTTGGTGAAAGATTATCCTCAAAAGTGAGCATGATTTTTATCTTTTCTTTTTAAATATATATATATATATATATAATTGTATTTTTATTTAGTTTTACAGTAAAATTTAGTTCTAGTTAGTAATTTATTTGCTCTTAATTACACTTTTTACTTTGTAGGCATAGTCTCCTATTGTTTTGTTTTAGCAATAGAAGCACACAGTAAGGTTGAATGTAAGCCTGTGGCATAAGTTTATGGTTGAACATTTTTAGCAGTTGTGATTCTTGGTTTTACTATAATATCTTGTAAGATGATAACAAATAGAAGTTTCAAAGGATAATGTGCTACACTTTAATCAAAGAAGTGTCAAATGAATATATATTTTTTCTTTCTTTCTTGTTTGGGATGTGGATAGAGGCGTGGAGGTTTGATCTTCATTTTATTGTTATCTCTCTCTCTCTCTCTCTCTCTCTCTCTCTCTCTGTGGAGAAAATAAGGAAATCCTTTAGTCACTTTAATGGATAATTGAAAGCCATTGCCTGTTCCATAACAGAAAAAAAGCAATATGGTGTGATACTCTTTGTAATAGTGGGTAATATTGTGTGGCAGCTCTTGAGCTTAGCTTTGGCCATCTTAATTTTTAACACCAAGTGTTTCAGAGAAGAAACCAGAAAATCTTCAGTGTCAAGAATTAATCTCTGGGGATACCTAATTCATATCTAGCTTAATTCATTGTATTTTTTAGGCACTTTCGAATATGGTTCCATCAGAGACGTCTCCTGGGCTGCAAAACTTTCATAGTAGTGGAGAACTTTACCATTCTTGTATATTTAGGATCTCTGAGATATGGGAAGCGTTGAGTAAGATCAAAACTTGAGAAAGGATGTGGGAGTGGTTTGTACAGCAATCGATGTTTAGAATTGCACAGGAGATTGTTTTTAAGCTTGATTTACATAAACTCTTAAAACAAATGTTGGGGTTTTGTAGTGTCATGTGATTGTATAATAAAATTGTAGACCAGTTAACATTCACAAAACTGTGGCAGCAATGGGTATTTCAACTTATTGTGTTATTAAAACTATATTGTTATTATTAGGACTTGTAATTTGGATACAATCAATTCTGTTGTGCCAAACATGTTCTGATGAAGCTGAAAATTCCATCCAGATCATTGCTTATATTTCTTACCTCAATATTTTGCATTTGGCTTTATGTTGTTGCTAATTAGGAATTGTCTATTAGGGCTTTGTCTTGGTTTGCAGTTGGTTGCTACTACTATTGTATCAAGAAGTATGATCAATCACGCCGTTATTTCAGGTAATAATCATACGTTTCTAGTCCACTCCAATTTCTTAACAATGTTGACTTGTTTACTTTTATGAGTTGCATTTTCCCTTTTAGTATTCAGATGATTTTTTTTGTTGCCAATACATCCAATCCAACTGTATCATTTCTTGGTTTTAACTATTTCTCTTATGTTAAAGATCTAAAAAGGTTGTTATGCATTGGAATCTAAACTCGTTTAAATTCCATGGAATGCTTATGTTTTGTCATTGTCTTTATTGTACTTTAAGGAGTTAATAATCTATCCATCCTAGATGATAATGGAGTATATTTTCTTAGTCGACAGATTTGGTGTCATCTATGTGTGCATAGTCAGCAAAACACTTGTGGAACCTAAATGAGTACAAGAGTTTCAAAATTTAAAGCTTTGGATACAATGTTTGATGCATATTTGCTTTGAAAAAAAGAAGTATGATCGAAAATTCTGGTGTTTACAGTTCAAGCACGAGGTGGTTGAAGTAATGCATGAAAGAAAAAAAAACTACTTAAGCGGACAATGGTATCTGGTTTGAGTTGGAGAGAGATAGCACATGATGGTTCACTGAGTTTAGTGGCTATCTGTACACATCCACAATAACCAAAGCTGAACAAACCAAGTCTTTTGGCAGACAACAGTTGAACAAATTTGGTTTGTTCGGTGATTGTTTGCTGAATGTACCAAGGTTGTTCGTAGTAATTATGTTGGCCTTAGTCGTCCAAACAACCTTAAAATGTTCGGTGAACAAAGGCCAATCAATCATAGTTTGTTTGGCAAACCAATGGCGAATAGAGCTTCGACTTCACTTTTCCAAATAGCACAAATCTAGATCAAAATCATACAAAACCACATCTCAATAATTATATAACACCCAAATCTTGTATACAACATTGCACAATTATCCTATACATATATATATTTAACAATGTCTTTTTCATTTTAGTTGTTGATTGATGTTTATTATAATTTTTTTTTGGCTTTATGTTCTATTGATGGAGATGGTGGGAGATGCAGAGGGGCGAAGATAGTGAGGGAAGTGGGTGGTGGTGGTAGTTGGTGAGGGTGAGTGTGTGAAGAATTTTTTTTGTGTTAAAATAAATTTCCCTTATGGTAAATTTTGCATAAGGGTGTAATTCTAACAAAAAGTCATACTTCGGTGGATTTATTGAGAGAAGGTGTAAAAGAAGCGACCTAGTTACTTCTGGAGTTCCGCTACAACTTTGTTATTCTACCTGGATATGGGTAGTGGTTGGCTCTACTGCAAAGTGACGTGATTGCTTTCAAGTAAATGTCATGTTTAAACCTGGCATAGTTATTTTGTTTTGTTTTAATAATAATAATAATAATAATATATTAATGGAAAGCATGTGCGCTGGTAGTGTGTGGTGGTGTAAAATGGATGAAAAGAAAAAATTGGTTCACGTGGGTATGTGAAAGAGATTAAAAGTGGTTTTGAAATCAAACAGAGGTGATTAAGAGATTGGTTCACGTGGGTATGTATTTTTTTTATTTTTTATTTTTTATTTTTTATTTTTGGAAATGAAAAAGGAAAGATAAAATAAAATAAATAAAGGTAAAGTGGGGTGTATTGATTATTTGATATAATAATAATAGTAATAAAAAAATAAAAAGTTAAACCACTTGGAGAATGTAATATCTTCTTTGCAGACCACTTGGAGATATCCTTGAGATTCGTTTGGTAGGGTGTGATTAAAAAAGAAAAAGGAGGAGAGAGAAAGAGCCCTTCTGTTTCTGTCCCCACCATCATCATAAAAGAAACGGAGAATAGGGCAGGCCTAAACCAAAACGAGCCGTGGTTGGAAGCATCTGCGACTCGTCACAGTTGTCAGATGGTTTTTCTCTCATAATCACGGGGTTCACTGTTGCAATGTTTGCCAATGGTAGCATAGCCTTGTAGTAGCACCAAGCCTCCTGCCCAGATGGAGCAATGAAAGACATAGGCCGATCACTGCAGAAAGCCGCTCGAGCCAAATGTATTCTGCAGCTTCTCGTTGGTGGAACAACTGCTGGAGATCGGCGGCGCTCCACGTGGCAGCCTTCGTGAGTTGAATCAGAAGGCAATGCAAGCTGCAAGGAAGCTCAGCAATGATCTTACAGAGCTGAAGATGTTAAGGATGGAAAGGGAGGAGACCCAACGATTGAAGAAAGGGAAACAGACACTTGAGGATACAACTATGAAACGCCTTTCGGAAATGGAAAATGCTCTAAGGAAGGCAAGTGATGGGAAGGTATGTGTAGAAAATAAGCGGAATAGGTTGAGGTCCGGCGGACGGCTAAGGTGGCCGCCGGTGAAGCGAAAATATTAGGTTCTAAACCCGCTCTGATACCATGTAGAAAATTTAATGTATAAAGAGAAATAGAGAATTGTATTATTGATTGATGTATATTGTATATTACAAATGGTGAGGGGCTCCTTATATAGGAGATGTAGTGGAGTACGTGGTAGTAGGTGGTAGTGGTAGGTGTGTAGTAGGTGGTAGTAGGTGGTGGTAGGTGTAGTAGGTGATGGTAGGTTTTAACATTATCCGATTTGAGTTCTCATTGGTTATCATAATTGACAGCAAGGCTACAAATCTAGATGGAACATTTCTGCCAGCTTGGATAGGTTATGGGAATGCTTATGCAGCTCAAGAAGAGGGCGACCAAGCAATGTCAGCTTATCGCACTGCTGCTCGTTTGTTTCCTGGGTAAGTTTTATATTATCCTTCTTCCTCTTGTTTGCTCTCTAATCTTTGGTGATAAACATGCACAATGAATGCAAGAGCGAGAACACTTGACCATGATGTATGAATTGTGATGTATCTAAGAGCAAACTTAAGAAGAATAGGTGATATGTTGAACAATAAAGGCAAGTTTGCAAGTTTCTATATTTTAAATACTTTCTCCATTCACAAGATAATTAAAATTTAATTTTTAGTGTTTCCAATCTTCTGTAGTTGTTGATTCAATGTTCGTAAAATTCTGATTCCTTTGTGCCTCTCTGGTCTGTCCCCACCCCCAAGGAAAATATGATATTGGGTTTTGTGTTAATTGTGGGTCAAAGATATTTGATTGTAACCAAGAATACCGTTTTAACAATTCTCGTGATGGTCGGAACTATGCATAAAATTAGTTTATTGGTCGTTTCTTTAGTTATGCATAGTCAAATCCTCTTTACCTATGATTTGTTTTTTACAGGTTGAATCTTGATATTCTCTTGTTCCAGGTGCCATTTACCAACTCTGTACATTGGCATGGAATACATGCGAACACACAGCTTCAAACTTGCTGAGCAGGTGATACATATGTCAACTTTAGTAATTAACTATTTGTTGACCTCATGTGATGTGAACATATCAAGAGAATTGAAAAGAAAAATAGCTGTGCAGTCTTCTCTGCATTTTGTTATCCAGATAATGAGTTATGACATTATTGTTCTCAGTGATAAAGCTATCCAAAATTGATGTTAGTTTGATAATGATCTTGGGTCGTCCTGCTAGGCTATTTGCTAGTGTAGAGTTCAGAAGTGACATCATTTTATGTTCTTAAGGAAACTAATGGAAGAAAGTAGGGTGGGCTATTTTTTTGTCAAATATATGAAACTATTATTACGTGTACTTCAATAATTAGGGGTGCCTTCAATTGCCTAACAAAATTAAGAAAAGAAAAAGTTTATACATAGATTGGCAATTGATTTAGTTAGTTTAATGGTAAAAATTTACTAGCATTTCAGGGGGGGAAAAAAAAAAACTACCCATGTTACTGATAAGTAACATAACTAAGCTGTGGCAATTGAAAAATCATTTCAAAGCTATTTATTTTTACAAAAAAACACTTGTGGTATTCCTGTTTTCTCTATATGTTTGATTTGTAATCTTTGTTCTTAGGAATGTCAACATTATGATGAGCGCATTCTGTGTTCAGTGTTCTGATAGGATTTTGTCTCAGTTTTTCATGCAGGCAAAGACAATATGTCCCTCAGATCCACTTGTATATAATGAACTCGGAGTTGTTGCTTATCATATGAAGGAGTAAGGATATTTAGCCTTCATGAATATGTTACTCTAGATGTTAAATGGATCTATCAAAAGAGAAATGACTTGATAGTTGCTGAAGTATTGTCAAATAGTACTCTTTATATTTATATAAGAAATTCATGACATAAAAAAATTGAAAGTTCTTTTACTAACAAATTGCAGATGTAATAAGTTTTAAATCTGTTTAATTTTGACTTTTAATTATATGCAAGGTTCAATAGAAGTTTTTGGAAACTGAGCCAAAACCAGAAAGATCAAAATCAAATTTTTATTTTTAATTATTTTTACATTTTATGTATGCCACCTAAACTTGGTGAAGATTTTGAACTATTAATATTTTCTAGTTAATGATGATTAATTTTGGTTGTTTTAAGTTATGAAACCCAGTTTTTGGGCAACCGTTCAGAAATGCCTTCTACATCTATATACTCAATTTAGTCCCCATGTAAAGTCCTTTTACATTTGTTTTTCCATATTTAGTGAATCTTTTCATCATCATAATTCTGTCTTAATGTCTCAGGTATAAAAAAGCTGTGTGGTGGTTTGAGAAGACTTTGGCTCACATTCCATCTTTGAGTGGAATGTGGGAACCAACTGTGATTAATCTGGCCCATGCGTTAAGAAAACTAAAGTAAGGTTAATTTGCTTTGGAATCCTATCAGAAACACTGTCTACTATGGTTTTCTTAAATTTCTGTTTACTTCTTGAAACTCAAGGATCAATATAGGTACATTTCAATCATATGTTTTTTGAGTTGAAGTACAATAATGGTACTAATAAATCAGATTTGATTACATATGTTTCTCTAGTAAATAATATAGAACTACTATATATCAGGAGGTACCGTGAGGCGATTACATACTATGAGAGAGCACTTGCACTATCAACCAGAAGTTTGAGCACTTATGCTGGTCTTGCTTACACTTACCATTTGCAGGTACTTACTCTCTGAAAGATTGTTTTGTTTTTGTGACCTGGTATGGTTATTATGATAATCAAGTGGCATTTTATGTATTGTTGCTCAAATTTGTATCTTGGTCCATAACTGGAGCTGGATTAGACCACCTGCTAAAGTTTAATGGAGAAGAAATTTTGTCACCACTCACCTGGACTACTTCACAGGGGTTTCCACTTGAGTGAACTGGCTTATTAGGGAATGCTTAGGTTTCATATGACACAAAATGACCAAATGGTCACATTCTAGCTTGAGTAGTAGAATACAGAGTTCTCTCCAAACTCGGACTATTTCTAGAGTTCAAATTTAATTTTTTTTTCTTGCCCTTATGATGAATGTCTTGCTGATGATACATTTTATGTGCTTGTGCAGGATAATTTTACCACAGCAATTACATACTATCACAAGGTAAGTTGCTCCAACCTCGATTGCTAGATTGGAGAACATCATATACAATCTTGCCTGTTTGATGCTGCAGTGGCTTTTAATGAAGTGGTTTCTAAAAAGCACTTCTGCAGAAACATCCAAGAGTTGCTTCATTTAGAAACCCTTTGAGCCAGTTAAAAGTGCTTTTAAGCCATCACACCATCTGATGGGACATAAAATCTATGAACTACATGGACTAACTAGTGCTGTGAAAACTGATTTTATTTTACTATGTTTAGTTATGATTTTATTTTATTTTTTGCCGCATGGTGTAAACTGACTCCTGTTATCTTTGTTGTCTCTGAATCAGGCTTTATGGCTGAAACCAGATGATCAGTTCTGCACGGAAATGTTAACTTCAGCTCTTGCAGATGAATGCCGCCATGGTATAGATCCCAAAACTGAATCTCTCCGAAATGATGTATTTGTTTAGTGAGAAAGCAGGCAAGAGAATTACAGCTCATCATGTATTTTTTTGTGGCCAATGTTTGTAGTTTCAGAAATAGACTAAAATAATGTGCTAGGTATCTTTATTTATTGTATCACAGTAGAAGAGATATTATATTAGGCATCAACTCTTTTGTGTATTTGTGACTTAAGGGCATCAATTGAGGCCGTTGTAGCTTGTATATTTCGGAACTGAATTGGCCTTCATTATTATTGATTTATTGAATCAGCCTGACCTTGCAATTTAAAACTCACTTCTTGGCATCGCTGTTTCTAAGTCGTTGATTAAACTAGATTGCAACTTTTGATCAAGAAGGGTACACAAACATGATATAGACGTTTTTATAAAATGTATATCAAATAAATAGGAAACAGGTTAAGTGATTGCAAATCAATAGACAACTATCTTTTTTGTACAGTTGTCACTTGCATCAATAGACGCCTCATTGGCATTTCATTGATTTGTAATTACTGCTGAAACGAGCACAAACAAATAGGTAGATAATGAAGTATATCATTATGTAGGTTTGTATAGGTCAGCTTCACGTTGAGGGGTCAGTGGTGAGATGAAAAACATGAATGTGTTGTCCAGAAATTATTTATCATTGCATATAACGACTTTGATTTTCAAGTTTATTTCTTTGTGCTAAAAAAGGAGTTTAAACATAAAATTTGTACCCCAATTTTTTTTTTTTTTAATTCTTGTACCATCTGGTTTCTTTTTTGGCAATCTATAATGGTTGGAACAGTGCAAAGGCTACAATAAGTTGACCTCATATACCTATTCGTGGGGCCTTCAACTTTTGATTTAAGATGTTCGCTAATATAACAACAAATAAAATTTCTTCTGCTGATAATCCCTCTCTTCCTGCTACAGAACAGTTTTGCATCAATATATCACCATTTCATGTCAACAATTTAGCTTGAATAAGTTTCTTGCAAGTTCAAAGAACGACTTATTGACAAGTTAATTTTCTGGAAATTCTGGAAGTAGAGCACCTTAACAGCATATTCTTTGTGCTGTTTTAGATATTCTCACTCCCTCTTCCCCCGAGCTACATCAACAAGAATTCTATTCAAACGCTGCCCAAATATCTTGGTAGAAAACGACTCAGCGACGTGTTGCCGAGCTTCTAGACCCATTCTCTCTGCCATTTGGGGATCCTGAATGAACTTTGCCATAGCCAAAGAGAAATCTTGGGGACTTGGGTCACAGAGGAACCCTGTCACGCCATTCTTAATTGTCTCAACAGGACCCCCGCTGTTGCATGCAATTACCGGTTTATGGGCTGCCATTGCCTCCAAGGGAACAATTCCAAAATGTTCATCCTACACTCATTAAGCATTCTCATGAGACTTCTTGTCATACGCATTATAGTATCAATATGAGCAGAAAATTGACTTTTCACAAACCTTTGGTGTGTAAAGAACACATAGGCATTGTGAAAGCAGCGTATTCCTTTCAGTTGTCGAGCAAGATGTCATGAACTTAACCTGGTGAGACACTCCTTCCCTCTCTGCTAAGCTTTTCAATTCCTCCAAATATTCGACATTCTCTCTCAAGCGTTTATCAAAGCCGCCTGAAGCAAAAATAAGTTGATAAGTAAATAAACGATTAAAAAGGTGTCAATTTGCATCCAAACATGCTAAAGCATATTGTGCATATATGCAAAAGGTGTTGCCTCCATTATTAAATACAACAATGCTGTAGACACCAAATTTATCACCCCTAAATAATCCCTAATGATGTGAAATTGAGGTTAGACCCCACATGATGGAATATTTGACAAATCAAAATTTGACACTTGTCAGACACATCATTAGAAGTGGTTTTTAAGGGTGATAAATTAGATGTCTCAAGTATTTTCTAATAAATATGAAATATGAATTTCCATTGGACTTGGGTATTACATGATTCCAAGACTAACACATGTATACCAATCCATGAAATATAGCGCACAACTAGTCTGCAAAGTGCATTTTGCACATGATAGTGCCAAGCAAACACACCTTTGTTTGGCATGTGCTAAAATAGCATGTGCTATTTTAGCACATTATCCTATTTGGGTCACATCACCTCTCTACCACATCACTTCAAACCCAACCCATATTTCACGTTTTTTCGTAAAAAGTCAAAAAGTATACTAATCTAGCACATCCCAAACAACCCCTAAAAGCAAAACAAGTCAATATATAACTGTTCTCGAGCAGCAAATAGATAGAGAGACTTGCCTACGACTGTCAATGTAGCATCAGCCACATTATGACCTTGAAGAACATCACCTTCAGGGGTGCGAAGCATGGCAAAGGCAGATATTGCTAAATCTATGTTCTTTTTCCTTTCAAAGCGGTTGACGGAGAGAAAATTCAACCTACAACATAGTAATCGCATAAACTCCTAAAATTTGTGAGGGAATGAGAAAAAAATGTTCAAGAAAATGATTAAACACAGCAATTTAAAACCATTCCTAAAACTAGAAAGATACCAAGAACAGGCTTGTTCATTACTTAAAAGTGTGGGGTTTATTAAACTGGTCTACATTGACTGCTGGGTAAAGCACGGATGGTTTAATTCCTCTTGCATCAAGTTGCTTAAATGTGTTTGCAAAAGTAGATGCAGTAAATTTGCTGTTAACAAGAACCAAATCTGCCATACCTGCAATTCCACCAGCAACTCATTGAGATTGTTAAATGCACATTACCACAGAATGCTTTCAAGATACAGAAGACAATTTACATAAGAAACACAAAGCCAGAATATGGAAAGAGACCAGTTGTTATTTCTTCTATAATGTCTATGGGTTTCCGATACATCCTCCTAAGAACTGTTGTGTGTTGAGCCAGCAACAAATCTGGAAAATGGCAATAAAATACGACCTGGACAGGAAATGGAGAATGTGAAATAACAACAAAGTCATAAACCTCTAATGATGAATATATATATATATATATATATGAAATAATCACCTTAGTTGATTTCTTTAGTTTCAATAGTGGAATGACTACGGAGACTTGATCAGCGAGTATAACATCGAATGACGGCCACATGAACAACACACAGAGAGCAACAAAAAGGCAACGGAGATATGCACATGCAGCATGTAGACGGTAGAAAACATGACGGGGCAGGAAAGCACCATATACAGTAACTGGAAAGGTTCCTGTACATTGCATTTATGTTAATATCACCTAACTAAAATAGCACGAACAGCCCCAGAACTGAAGAATTAGAGAAAAAGATATGAAATCCTCACCAGCAAGAGTCTCCTCAAAACATCGAGTTTTGTCATGGTGTGCGGTAAAAATATGAACATTGTGCCCATGGGATGCAAGTTCCACAGCAGCATCAACAATTAATCTTTCAGCTCCACCTATCCAGTATACATAACAGCAACTATGGAGCAAGTATATTGATAACAGGCATGGCGATAAGATCTCATAGTAGGGAGAGAAGTCTTCACATACACAAATAGTGTAAGATGACTATTGAGCATGAGATGGGTTTAGACAAATCCATTCCTTTGGCAGTGTGAGATGTGCCCATGCCTAATATCAGTGACTTGGCAAGTGATTTTGTCTGTGCAGTGAAATTTTTTTTCGATATCATACTGGCTGTCCTTCAAGTCTTTGTTCGATTAGGATCGATAGGTGGTGAGATGACAGAAAAAGTTGATATCCAAGCTATCATTTAAAATAGTTGATGCATTGACTCCTAATATTATATACGAATAAAACTGCAGTAGCAATATTTCCTTAAGGCTGTGTTTGGATCAGGATATGGGTAGAGATTTGAAAGGAAACGGGAAAACGTTTATGAAATGTAAAAGAAATATACCTACATTTCTCGCCTATATTGAAGAAGAAGTAAAATGTGTGCATCATTCAGCCAATCCTAAACGTTGCCAAGATTCTAAACCATAAACTTCCGAAGGGTTTTTTTTTTTTTTTTTTTCTTAAACAGGACTATCTCTGAAAGCCACTAGGTAAACCCATACCCAAAGCCCCAAGCTTCTCCACACATATTGGCCAAACACAGAGATCAAAATCAAAGCTATCTCCTCTAGCTTATCAATTCATGGTGATATGATCAGGCAATAAATCTCATGAAACTGAATGATTTGAAAAACATCTCATGCCAAGAACAAGCCATATAAAATTTTATTAAAAAGAAAAATTCACTTCAAAACTTCACAAACTTCCCCATCCATCCTTCTTCCAAGTTCAACTCAACAAGTTCTTCAAGGTTCAGCTTCCAAAAGGGTTAGTTTCTCAACAAAATTAGTGCTTTATACAAAATATTCTCTTTTTAAGATCATTTTGGCCAGACCAAGCTCTTCCAAATTGAATGAAATTACAAATTCCAATAACATGAAAAAAATCAAAATCAAAACCAAAATAAAAATATTCTCAGATTCTTATCTCTGTAAATTGATACACATAGATATAAAATGATAATAATAAACAAATAAATAAATTACCGATTCCGAGGTCTGGATGAATGATGGCGATGTTGAGCTTGGAGCTTCTGTTTTTCTCCATCTTCTCTTTCGCTATCGAATCGTATGATCTCCTTCACGACAGAGAAGAGACCTTGAAAAATCACAAGGCAGACTATGGGGGCGACCCCTATTGTCAGATCAAATATGGCTAAAGACAGAGAAAGTGCAACCCGTTTTAGCGTCATACAAAATTGCTATTGCCCTAGATCGGCTTAAATTGGTATGGAAATAGAAGTTAGCCCATCAGCCCAATCTGTTGTTATTGTAACTGGATCCATATAGAGGATCCCAGCCCAAATGAAGAATTAGTTTTACGGCCTTGTTTGGGGGAAGTTTATAAGACCTAATTTATATCTATATAATAAGGGAAATATAATAAGGGAATAGGGTTTTTGAATTCATCCTACAAACAATTGTCCTATTAGGACATTTTAATAGTCGTGATTCATTTCTATATTTAGATGGACAGCTGAGATGACCCCATTAAGTATATATCAATCCTAAGTATATATCTACATTTACTTCCCGCCCAAATAGTAAGCTTCCCACTTACCCACACCTCCCCTTCATTCTATCTTTATCTCTCTCCTTTCTTTGTTCTCACCCACGTCTCCTCCCCATTCCCTCTTTATCTCTCTCTCCCTCCCTGTTCTTCTTCTTCCCTATCCTCCCTCTTCGCTCGCTCCTGAAACTGCTCTCCAATCTCGGCTCGCAAGGCAAGATGCTCGTTCCCCTTCTTTTTATGTCCTATTTCTCTCTCTGTATTTCTGTTTCACCCATTTTCTCTCTGTCGAGTTGTTCTGCGTCGCACTCAAAGTTAGATTTTTTGTTCATTACCCCCTCCTCTCGTTGTTCAATCTTTTTGAGCTTTCTAGAATTCTCTCTATCGGGCTGTGAACAGGTTATTTTAGGGTTGTTTGCCTATGCCTTTGATTTTTGGTTGGTTTCAGATTGTAATTCTGTTGGGTTGTACTCTAAGAATTTTTTCAAAGTTTAATTTTGGTTCATTATGGTGATTTGCTTGGGAAAAGAAATTGATATGCAATTCGTTTTTCCATCGCCATCGCCACCGTCCAATCCTTGAGGCCAGAAAACCTGTGTCTCTATGGTTTAACTTGATGTTCTTTGTAGCTGTGTCTGTTCAAACCCAAAACAGAAGATTAATCCCAACAAAGAGGGTTTTATTCCCTCTTCGTTCCAGATTTCTTTGATTTCTCTTTCTCTCCCTTTCTCCCTTATAATGCATATAAAATTTCGCTGAATGTTTCTATAAATTTCAATGCTCTGACTTCTTAGTTGAATGTTTCTATAAATTTCAATGCTCTGTTTCTATAAATTTTCTGAATTTTCTATAAATTGGTGTATTCACTCCCTACTCTTTGAAAAAAAAAAGAAAAAAAAAATCTTCGACCATAATGCATGTTTGTTCAAGGGCAGTTTATAATTTTCTGAATTTTCTATAAATTGGCATATTAACTCCCTACCCTTTGAAAAGAAAAATATATATATATATATATATATTCTTCGACTATAATGCATGTTTGTTTAAGGACTATTCTGTATGAACTGCAAGGCCCCTTGGCGCAGTAACGTGAGTTACAATGATTTCAAAATTTTAAATCCTTATCCATGTGTAGAAGATAAGAAGTTAAAAGCTCTTGCAAAGAGAAATCTGTGGCGCTAGTGTGTGGTTGAACTTGCAGCAGGTTGCAACCACATTTATTGTAGGTACTGTATTACTTCATTTTGAATTGCCTTAATGCTTTTAATATTTTTATAGTGGTGTTTAAATCGTGTTGTTCACTCCATAATGGTAAGTTGCCACTTGGCTAGGATACTAGTTGACTTGCCTTATGGAAGTCGAATTTTGAAATGGAAAAAAAAAAAATTTAACCGTTGAAACAAGTTGGTTGCTTTTATATGCATTATAAATGAGTTTGTATCTCTCCATCTAGGTTCAGATTCTGAATCTGTTGGGTTAAGATTCTAAGATTGTTTTGAACTCCTAATTGCTGGGTGTTTGTTCCATTGGGTTATTTTTTTTTAACCATTTCCATGCTTTGTTTTTTTTTTCTTTTTTTTTTTTAAAAAAAAAATTGTATTCAAAGTTAGAATTTTTGTAATGGAAAAGTATTTGATTGCTAATGAAACTTAGAATCTGTTGGTTTAAATTCTAAATCTGTTGGGTTCAGATTCTGAGAAGGCCAAGATTCAAAACATCCCCTAAATCCAAAAATATGTTTTCAGCTCCCAAAACTCTCATCTATCTCCTTCTGATTGATGTCCTTTTCTTTCTATCTATTTCCATTTGGAATACATTATGTTTTGTGTTCCATTGAGAAACCTGCGTATTTTTCTTCGATATTTTCTGAGTTTATATCTCTCCATATGGTGTTTTTGTATTCTGTTTTTGTGTTCCACTGAGAAATCTGCCTGTTTTCCACTGGTTTACCCCAGAAAAAACTCTTAATCGACTGTTAACTTCCAAAATAGTCCCTTATTCCATTTTAAAAAATTTTGAACTGCTAATCAACCAATCTCTGGCTTGCTAATTGACTTTCAACTACTAATTTTTTAGAACCTGTTTTTGGTTTGAACTGCTAATAAACTGCTAATTTTTTAAAACCTGTTTTTGGTTTGAACTGCTAATTTTTAAAAAAATTTGAACTGCTAATTTTTTGGTTTGAGATCCTTACTATGATCATGCCCTCTGTCAACTGAATATGCTCCATTTTAGTAGTCATCTTGGGCATGTAATTGATAGTATATATGTATATATGTATATGCATATCTTAGCTTGGTGGCGGGTTGTTGATTTTGCTAAGATAAGAGGCTTTTTTTCCATAATTTGAGCTTGCTAGATTTGTAGAATACAGATCATCAAGGTTCTGCCTCACTAGATTCATTAGCCTAGAGAAAACCAAAAATTGTCATGGTGTGTCAAGGTTGAGGCCTCACCCGTTGGTCATCTAATGAAATCTCTATGGATAAGCATTCTATTTCACATTTAATTCACTAGAGGAGCTAAAATTTATTTTATTTTTCTTCATATTTTTTCTTTTTATTTTCGACAAAAGTGCTTCTTAATACTTTGGTTCTTCTATGTAGTGTGCTTTTGGAATTAATCTACAAATTTTTCTGCATTTCAGGAACAGCAAAGGACTCCAAATAAGCAATTAGAACCTGTTTTTGAGGTTTGAGATCCTTCGGTTTCATTACTTTGGTTTTTCTATGTTGTGTGCTCATTGTAATAGTGTTGTTGAGTAAAATTTGTGACAATTTACACATAGATCTTTGCAATCTATGCTCTGAGTCTGAAGAAGCTCATGGGTAGTTGGTAAGTCTTATTTTAAATTTTGAAATCTTTCTCTCTCAAATAGTAATTTTGGGGAGTAAAATTGATTATACAAATAAGAAAATTGGCTAAATCTTTAGTGCTCCTCTCTCTATTTGATTCTACACATAGATCTTTGCAATATAGGTGCTAAGTATTAAGAAGCTCTTGGGTACTTGGTAGGTCTTACTTTAAATTTTTTTAATATGAAATCTCTCTCTCTCACATATAGTAATTTTGGGGAGTACAATTGATTATACAAATAAGAAAATTGGCTAAATCTTTAGTGCTCCTCTCTCTATTTGATTTTTATTTTTTAATGAGCTGTTCTTCGTAGAAAATTGGCTAAGCAATTAAAGGTATCCTATTTCTTTAACATGCTGCTTGGCTTCCATTGGGAATTAAAACGTTCAATTTGCTTTTAGATTATGATTTTTTTTTTTAAATTTAATATTATCATTTGTAAATGTTCTGCAATAATAGATTAATCTGCAATAATAGATAGATATTTATAATACTTGATCTTAAAATGTAATTTATCCAGTTTAATGTAATTTATCATCTGTATTAAAATGTAATTTATCCAATTTAATCTTAACATTATGTTTCTTAAATGGATTTAATTTTTTAAGAGGTTTTGGATCTGAATTAATACTTGATGGGTTTAATTTTTTAAATGGGTTTTAATTTGTTTACATTTTTTGGACAGTATTTAGTTTTTCTATGTTGTGTGCTTTTGGATGATTTTCATTTCAAATAGTTTCGAGAAGTTGGTCTAACCAATTTGTTATGTTTACACTTGAAATTGGAATTACTCTACAAATTTTTCTGCATTTCAGGCCCTTAATACACTTGATAGTACCAAATAGAGAGTAAATAAAAGGGTTCTTGGTATCATAGGCAGAATATGGGCTAGCATTTTGATAGCAATTTGGTAGAATATCTCATATTTCTGCTTCTTTTCCCTTTTTTTTTTCATTACCAAGTTGAGTTGAATGCCTACATTATACTCCCTCAGCTCTTGCTGGCTGTAACTGATATGGAATCTTCTCTCCTGAATTTGTTTGCTTCTCTGTTCAATTTTTGCTTTCAATTGCATAATTCTATTTATTAAATTTTTGTTGCCAATTTATTTCAATTCTTTTGGCTATAGTTGTCCCTGCATGTGGGTGATTGAATGTTTTCTCATTCAATTAACACCAAAATAACCGTTTACCACATGAGCAAATATAGTGGAAAGGTGCTGATTTTGCTTTTGTTATTCCATGACAACCTCACACTTTGTCCAAAGAATCATTTGGTAAAAGTTTTATGACCTAACCAACATTTGTAACAGGATTGATATGGAATCTTCGCTCCTGAATTTTTCTGTTTCTCTGTTCTATTTTTGCTTTCAATTGCACACCATACTTATGAAATTTTTGTTGCCAATTTATTTCAATTTAACAATCCCTTCAATCATATAGCAATTTGGTAGAACATCACATAAGACTTTATTAGTTTACATCACAATAAATTAATTGAGGTTTCAAGATCTGAAGGAATTTAATTGGGTGCATGAATATTATATAGATATGGTTTGCGTGGACTCCTTATTATGGTCTTAATAACCGTTTACCACATGAGCAAATGCAGTGGAAAGGTGCTGATTTTGCTTTAGTTATTCCATGACAACCTCACACTTTGTCCAAAGAATCATGTGCCAATTTTGATTTGGTAAAAGTTTTACGACCTAACCAACATTTGTAGCAGGATTGATATGGAATCTTCGCTCCTAAATTTTTCTATTTCTCTGTTTTAT